AAACTAGCCAAAGGCCACGGGGAACCTTTGAACGTGGCAGGTCTGAATTGCTGTTGTTGCTTTTTGAACCAAGAAAACCCAGTATCTCGTTCTCTGTTGCGTGTTGTGCATCCGTTGCCAGAGCCTATGTTGCACCTGCTGGAATATCGAGATCCCATGCTGTCACTTGGGATATTGGATTTCAGTCTCCTTGAAGTTATGAGCTGGTCTGCTGTGTTACAGAGACACTGCGTTTCTTTTTCACGTGCAGGGACAAAGGGTGTTGGATTCTTTTCTTCCAGGGAGACACAGGATTAAGACCACTGACGTCAGTTACAGTAGCACAGGGCTTCTCAAAGGGTAGTCTACATTACGGTCAGATCTGCATCACAAACCCTCAACTCTCCAATGCAAAAGGGACACCAAGGGAGTCTATACTACACCGTAACTCAAAATAAGGGCACGTCTAAACTACAAAGATTTTTCAAAAGAGGAACTTTTCCAAAAAACCTGCTCTTCCTAAAAAAAGGAGGTTTACGTGGTTTTTCGAAAAAGGGATTTTTTTTTCCAAAAAACCTGTGTCCAGACTACTTTGCTTTTTGACAGCAGGTCTTTCAAAAGTGAATCAGAAGAAGATATGCAAATTCCCATGAAATTTGCATATCCTCTTTCGAAAACTCCCCTGTCGTTTAGACATCCCCAAACTGGAGGTCTTGACTCCTCCGTGTTGTGAGGTTCTTACAGGGGGAGTCGTGAGCTGTCAGTCGCCACCTCCCAACCCTGCTTCTCCTACTGCACCTAGAATAGAGATTTTTAAGGGGGTCGGTCTCAGGCTTGCTGTGTGAAAGGGGCCAGCGAAACACAAGTTTGAGACTGCGTAGTGTAAGAGCAAGGCGAGGAAAACCAAACTCCCTGTATCTTCAGTTAAACACCTGTGTACAAGAGGCATTTTTCCTCTGCCAATCTGCCTTGTGGCCACTGAAATCAGTGGGAGATGGTTCACAGGGTGGGGGGAGGCGGCATACACCTACATTTTATAGCTATTGAACATTTCCTGTAATTAGGAATAGCCAGTTCAGTTGGAAGGGCAAACTAGAAAAGAGTTGCTAAAGTCTAAAGAGAAGCCCTGAGTGAGGGGAGGTATGTGATAAGTAAGATCTGTCCAGGATAAGGCTACATGGCATGTTTTTGTTTGTTCCCTTGTGTTCATTCGTCCAGTCTTGATCTGTTGCAGAATGCTGCCTCGAGCAAGGTCTCCTTTCTCCCAGGGCTAGGAACAAAGTTTCCTCCTTGCATATTAATGAGAAGCCTTTTACAGTGCTTGATGGTTTGGGGAAATTTTTTCACTCCCGCCTGGTATTTTGCAGACTTGGCGCTTGCTTTGCATGAGACACAGTGTGTGTGTTGTGTGGTGGTCTGGACAGCTGGCTGGCCTGGGGCAGGGGGGAATTGTACAATTAACTGCAAGCCCTGTGCTAAATATGTCCATTGGCTGGAGAGAGTGCTTCCCCATTCTCCCACTCAAAGGGCACTTCTTGGTGCTTTGCTGAGCTTGTGCTGAGCATGCACCAGAACAGAGTCCTACCCTGCAGTTCTTAAGCAAATCCTCCATGGAGGCTGAGGGCTGAAATGGAGCTAATCACAGTATTATTTTCTAGTCCAGTCTGAAACCAGCTCCTGTCTCCAGTCATCTCTCCTCCCCACCTTTTTGGGTGAAGGCGGGAGAATGTAACTCATGGAAGCTGTTTGCAGCCCATTAAAGGATCAGATGTCTTCAGACGATGATTTGAGCTTTCATTAATGTTTTTCCATCTTGCAGCTCAATTCCCTACATAGGAAATCCTGACTTAAAGCATGATTCAGAGGGCAGCAATGACATTGGGATAGTGTGGTGTTTGGATCCAGAGCCCAGACGTTAGTATCGTGTACTCGGATGAGGCAGGATGCCTGTTATCCCCAGACACTCACTTGGAACATCATCTTTGCAAACAACATGCTTTGTATCTTCGGCATTGCAGCCCTAGCTGCTCAACGCTGAGTTGCTCCTATAAGTGAGAGATGGCAGAGGAATAAATGACATCACATTGATAACTGTGCTTGTGTTATTGCCACGAGACTCTTCTTCCTGAGGTGGGGGGTTGTACTGCACCCGGCAATGCAAACCAGGATTATCTTGTCATTTACGGCTTTAACATAGTTTCCTACTTAGCTTCTCCCGATTCCTCTTCCATTCCCAAGGCTTCCTGGCAGGAATCCCCAGAAATGACAGCTGGGGCAGTGAAACCATGCCAGGCCTTTCCCCCAGAGGAGTCCTGCGGCGTCTACTCCTCTCCTATGCCTAGAGAGAGGGCCTGATGGCACAAGGTCATGTTAATACCCCTCTGAGTCAAGCCACAAAAAGAGGGCTGAAAGATACTACAGATTACTCTGAGCAAAATGGCTTTCCACCCCCTGCACTACTTACAAGCCTGGGAAATACTTGGGACATGACTGTGCTGTGGGGGGGCTAGAGAGCAAGTGTGAAAAATTGGGACAAGAGATGGGTGGGGGAACAGGGCCATCCTTACACAGACACAGAGTATGCAGCGACGACGGGCACCCAAAAATTTGGGGCACCACCACGTCTTAATAGCCCCCCCTACTACCTTCCCCATCCCAGTTTGTGATTCTGCTTCCTCCGGAGAGGATCTAGTTCACTTACCAGTGACACAGCCTGCCAGAGCTATGAGCCGACACTCAGCCTGTGAAAGAGCCATTTGAGAGGCCATGAAGCCATTTCACAGGCATTTACCTGCCGCAGGGACATACTGTCAGTTTCTGAATGGACCGTGTCAATCAGCAGGACCGTAGTTTAACATTTTCTGTAAAAATATTTTATTGGTGTGTTGCTGAAGATTATAAAATCACAGTTCTACAAACGTGCCCTGCCTTGTTGCCATCGGGCGTAGGGGCACCAGGTTAATAGTCCTGCATAGGGCCCCATACATCCTAAGGATAACCCTGGGGATAGGGGCCTATATACATCACATCCCCAAATGCCAGGAGTTTCCCAATAAAAGTAGTCACTGCAAGCAACGTCAGGAAGGGTGAGTCTACACAGCACCTTCAATTTGAAATAAGGGATGCAATTTAATTCTATTTCAAAATACTTTATTTTGAAATTTGGCACGTCTACACAGGAATGCGGGTTACAGGGATGCTAAAGTAGCCCGTCCGTTATATCAAAAAATACTTGGAAATAGCGGGTGGCTTGTGAAGATGCAGGGAAGCTCTGGTAGCCTGAAATAGCTGCACTGTGTAGACGTACCCGAAGCGAAGCTGTGTGGGGTTTTGGATCCCCACTGTTAATGGGCGATGTGCTTGAGTCTCCCCCACTGTTTGACATTCATGAAGCCTCCTGGAGAGATGACGGGAGGCTCAACAAATGAAATAAATTAGAAAGCAGAGAAGGGGGAAGAAACCAGAAGCTCAAGAGGACAAAGGAAAGGCGGACAAGAGAAAGGAGGCAGAGCATGGGACCAGGGAAGATGAGGCTGGGGAGGGAGGTGCACTTACCTTTCAACTCATTGCCCAGGGGTAGGGTGATTCAAGCAGTAGAGCAGGAGGTGGAGACCCTCAGGCCCAGGGGTCGGATGTGGCCCTTGGCTTGCCTGGATGCGGCCCCTGAGGCTCAGGGATACCCCTCTCCCCAGCACTGGGGAGCTTGTGCTGGTGCTCCAGCCTCCCTCTCCTCCTCAGTCGCTGTTCCACCACTGGAGTGAAAAAATCCACTAGGCTGCCTCCCCCCAGGCTCTGGCGTGTGAGGAGAACACGGGGAGTATCGTTCTCCTCAACTGCGGGCCATATCAGTGAGGGGGGTTTGTTTTTGTTTTGCTTCTCAGTTGTGTGCGGCCCCCAACTGATTTTTTCTGTGGGTCAGCGGGCCCCAACCCAAAAAAGGTCCCCCAACCCTGCAAGAGAGGTTGGGGGCGCTTGTAAGTCTTTGCTCTGGTGTAAATTTGCCCTTGCCTGGGTTTGAAACCTGGATAAGCCATCCTGGGAGCGGTTTTGCTTTACCCCATCAGAGCACAGCTCCTGGAAGTGTTAGCGCCTGTACAGCTTGGTTTGTTAGTGCAGTGACAACACTGTGGCAGTGCCCCCCCGCCACATACAACGCTATAAAGCATCGTCATTCTTGTTCCTCAAATGCTGATGACTGTGAACAATATACTTCCTGAAGGGCACCTGCTACGTTGAATACTAAAGCTCAGGATTTGTTCGTGGGCATCTTGTGCCTGCAAAGCTCCCTTCTGCTTTTTGAGAACGAATTTGGACATCTCCCACTGCTCTCTATATCATCAGAATGTTGCTGTTGTGTATTGGATTGTCCTGAGTGACTGGGATGGGGGGAAAAAAAAAATTAGGGTATGTCTACACTACCACCCTAGTTCAAACTAGGGTGGTTAATGTAGGCAACTGAAGTTGCAAATGACGCCCGGGATATGAATTTCCCAGGCTTCATTTGCATCTTGCCGGGCGCCGCCATTTTTAAATCCCCGCTAGTTCGGACTCCGTGCCCGCGGCTATACGCGGCACAGAGTAGGTAGTTCGGATTAGACTTCCTATTCTGAACTACCGGTACAACTCGTTCCACGAGGAGTAACGGTAGTTCGGAATAGGAAGCCTAATCTGAACTACCTACTCCGTGCCGCGTGTAGCCGCGGGCACGGAGTCCGAACTAGCGGGGATTTAAAAATGGCGGCGCCCGGCAAGATGCAAATGAAGCCTGGGAAATTCATATCCCGGGCGTCATTTGCAACTTCAGTTGCCTACATTAACCACCCTAGTTTGAACTAGGGTGGTAGTGTAGACATACCCTAATTTTTTTTTTCCCCCCATCCCAGTCACTCAGGACAATCCAATACACAACAGCAACATTCTGATGATTGCAAATATTGGGGTCAACATGATTGGCAGTGGGCTGATGGGTGTTACTCAGCTGGCTGCATTATGGAGATTTACATTGTCCTTTTTCTCTGCAGGCATTGGTGTCATTACACGGTCACACGGACAGTTTCCTGCCAAGTGCAAAATGGCTCGGAGACGGTGATCCAGAGGGTTTATCAGAGCTGCCGATGGCCTGGACCTTGTGCCAACTTAGTGAGGTAAAAGCCTTTCACCAATGTCTTCTATTGTGTATTCAGTCTGCAGGCTGGGCCCAGCATGTCTGAGTCAAGTCAGCAGGCAGTTGGGCTAAGCAAAGCACGTTGGATAGGGCCTGATAGGCCCAGATTGAAGTTACTCCTGATTTACCCCGGTATAACTGAGATCAGAACCCTACCCCACACGTGTAGCTTTGCTCTGTGTGTTGACCTCTGCAAACTTCCTCATACAGTTGATTGAGGCACCTGGCATTGAAAAGCTCTTGCTCTGGCCCTTTGAGAATGCTAATTCCGCTGACTTGCGATGGTAGGCACCAGAGCCAATGCGGGACTAAGATAAGGCCACTGTTCTCAATATTACATGTAACCTCTGCCAGTATTGACCTTCAGTAGGTTCCCAGAGATGAAAGGGAACCCCTAATGCAGGGGTGGAGAACATGGGCAGCAGGTGAAAGCCGAGCTGGGGAAGGCCAGCCACAGCCTCGCCCCTTCCACCCAAGGCCCCGCTCCGGAGTCAAGCCCCACCCACACCCAATCTGATACTTCCTGGCCGTGGAGAGCCACGGCTGCCCTGCTGCAGCCCTGGGCTGGCCCTCCTTGGCAGCCAGGGGAACCGGGCTGCTGCGCCATGGCCCTAGCCCCAGCCTTCCCTGGTGGCCAGGCTGCTGTTCTGGGCTGCCACGCCGCAGCCCCAGTCTTTCCCAGAAGCTGGGTGAGCCGGGCTGCTGCGCCACGGCTCTAGCCTGCCCTAGTGGTGGCCTCAGCCTTTGGTGGTTGGGCATATAGTTTTGGGAAGATTATGCCTTCCCTTGCCTACACTACTGACCACCCATGGTAGGCAACCTGAGGCCCAAGGGCCTGATTCTTGGCTTGTCTGGATCTAGCCCCCAAAGCTCAGGGCCCGCACCCCCCACCACCACTGAGGAGCCAGCACTGGCACTCCAACCCCCCCCCCCTTCCCCACCGCCTGACCACATAAAATCTACCCGATTGGGCTCTGGTGTGTGAGGGGAACGTGGGGAGTGTCTTTCTCCTGTTCAGTCAGGGGCCATGTCAGTGAGGGTGGGCTTTTTTTTTACTTTACTTCTCACTTGCATGCAGCCCCCTGACTGATTTTTCTGTGGGTCAGTAGCTGGCCCTAAAAAGGTTAATAAAAGGATCTGGCACTAGATCTTGTGTAGTGTGCAGTGCTCTTAATTCCTCTTGACTTCAGAGCACCTTACAAATTCAAGCTCCTCTAAGATATATCCACAGGTGTCTGAGCCTTGTACAGAGGTGCGGTGTCCCAACAGCCACACCTCACAGACTGGCAACCTCAGCACAGAGGTCATGACTCTGTGGGGTCTCAGCACAGAGGTCTTGACTCGCTCTACCCGCTTGACTATTGAGCTGTCTGGCTTTCCACAGGCTTAAATTGGCAAACAAAGTGAATGGAATTCTTTATCGCCACGTTCTTACCAACAGCTACAGAGCAGGGGTTGAGAGAACTTACTAAAGAAATGTTGTGGTGCAATGAAGGCTGAATATGGTTCCACCCTCTTCAAATACTGAGCTTCACCGAATACCAGTAGTGATCAGGAGTTTACATTTTTCACATTGCTGTCCCCGCTATTCAGTCTCCACTTCCGTTTGGCCACTGGTCAGTCTTACTCAGTTCTCTTTTGCTTATAATATATGAGCTTTGGTGGCTGGTCTTATTCCAATCACAGCCTGACACAGGACATTTTATATTGTACATTTTTGTGACCAAACTTCTTTTAATTTCACACACCTGACTCTCTTTTCGGGGTGCTCCATTCCTATTGAGTGTGCATGTTAATCTTTAAATAGTTTTTAAAAAACTTGCCAAATTCTGGCCCAGTCTTCTTTTTAAAAATGTGAATGAAGCCGCACTGATAACAAATAATCAATCACGTTACTGGATGAACATTAGGGATGTAAAATCTTGTTTAATCAGTTAATGTTTAACCAGTTAACTGACTAAACGTGCACGGGCAGGTGGGATGAGGAGGGATGGGTGTTCAATAGGCATATTCACAGAAAAGAAAAATGATATTTAAAGTGTTTATCTATGAAAACTCATATTATAAGCAAAAGAGAATTGAGTAAGACTGACCAGTGGCCAAACGAAAATATAAACCTACGAGTTTTTTTTTAAAAGAATATTTTTGTGTTCAATTTTGTGACATTCTAATTTAGCTGGATTTTTTTCCTGTCATTTTAAATTAAGTAATTTTTCTAATAGCCTGAACACTTAGCTTGAATTCTTCTGGCTGCTTGTTTGAGGATAGGACCGAAATGAATGGCAAGAGAAAAGCTGACATTAAAAATGCATACATTTGAAAACAAGTGACCAGGTGGATGAAGTAATATCTTTTGTTGGACCAACTTGTTGAACCTTTATTCAAAAGAAGGTCTCATGTGACCTTTTTTATCAATAAACAAGGGACATATAACCTAGATGGGGCTACTATAAGGTGGGTGTATAGCTGGCTGGATAGCCATTCTTAGAGAGTTATTATTAATGGTTCACAATCCTGCTAGAAGGGCATAACAAGTTGGGTTCTGGAGGGGTCTGTTTTGGGGCTGGTTCTGTTCAATATTTCCATCAGTGATTTAGATGATGGCATAGAGAGTATGCTTATTAAGTTTGCGGATTATACCAAGCTGGGAGGGGTTGCAAATGCTTTGAAGGATAGGGTGAAAATTCAAAATGATCTGGACAAATGAGAGAAATGTAGGAGGTAAGTAAGATGAAGTTTAATAAGGACATATGTAAGTGCTCCACTTAGGAAGGAACAATCTGTTTCACACATACAGAATGGGAAGTGACTGTCTAGGAAGGAGTACTGAAGAAAGGGATTGAGTGGTCATAGTGGACCACAAGCTAACTGAGTCAACAGTGTGACACTGTTGCAAAACAAGCAAACATGATTCTGGGATGCATTAACAGGAATGTTGTGCGCAAGACACGAGAAGTAAATTTTTTACTCTACTCTGCACTGATTAGGCCTCGGTTGGAGTATTGTGTCCAGTTCTGGGCACCACATTTTAAGAAAGATGTGGAGAAATTGGAGAAGGTCCAGAGAAGAGCAACAAAAATGATTAAAGGTCTAGAAAATATGAGCTATGAGGGAAGACTGAAAGAATTGGGCTTGTTTAGTTTAGAAAAGAAAAGACTGAGAGGGGACATGATAACAGTTTTCAAGGATCTAAAAGGGTGTCACAAAGAGGAGGGAGAAAAATTAGTCCCCAGGGCCTCTGATGATAAGACAAGAAGCAATGGGCTTAAATTGCAGCAAGAAAGGTTTAGGTTAGAAATTAGGAAAAACTTCCAGCTATCAGGGTGGCTAAACACTGGAATAAATTGCCTAGGGAGGTTGTGGACTCTCCATCACTGGAGATATTTAAGACTAGGTTGGACAGACATCTATCAGGGCTGATCTAGATGATGCTTAGTCCTGCTGTGAGGGCGGGGGACTGGACTTGATGATCTCTCAAGGTCCCTTCTAGTTCTAGTATTCTATGATTCTGTAAACTTCTGTTGGTGAGAGACAAGCTTTTGGGCTTATACAGAGCTTTTCCTCAGGTCTCTTCAGTCTTTAGTGATCTGGAGAAAAGTCTGTGTAAGCTCAAAAATTACTCTCTCACCAACAGAACTTGTACCAATACAAGAGTTTATCTCACCCACCTTGTATTTCTGGGATTGACACTACTACAACATACACAAATGCCAGAAGCCTTGGTACTGAAATAGTTACTGACACTAGCGATCTCAGCTGAGAGCTGCCTCTCTGGGAAGTAACTGCCCAATGGCTGTCGTGTGCTCCCAGAACACGGACTAGAACCCAAGAACAAAGTCATGCATCATATAACCACCCAGTTTCAGTCAAAGGCACCTAAATGAAGGCTGTTCCTGGCTATTTCTTGAGGACCTCTGGAAGAGGTTGACAGAAATGACATGCGATCACCCCCTGATAGTAGAAAACAGGACCAGTGCCTGTCTGCTCCAAGGTGGCCCATTGAATCAGCAGTTGATGAAGTTGCTGCAGAGAAGGAATGGTTATGAGAACACGTGCCAAGTTGTCAGAGCCTCTGAGATTCAGACCTGGTAGCTAATTATAAAATCATAAGAGCAGCCATGCTGGGTCAGACCAAAGGTCCATTTAGCTCAGTATCCTGTCTGCCGACAGTGGCCAATGCCAGATGCCGCAGGGGGAGTGAACAGAACAGGGAATCATCAAGTGATCCGTCACCTGTCATCCATTTCCAGCCTCTGACAAACAAAGGCTAGGGACACCATTCCTATCCATCCTAGCTAATAAGTATTGATGGACCTAACTCCATGAATGCATCTAGTTATTTTTTGAACTCTGTTAAAGTCTTGGTCTTCACAACAGCCTCCAACAAGGAGTTCCACAGAAACTTGTGTGAAGAAAAACTTCCTTTTGTTTGTTTTAAACCTGCTGCCTGTTCTCTCCATCCTAGAGATGCCTCTATTTTCTAATTGCTTGTTTTGCTTTGATTTTTGTTTTGTTTTGTTTTGTGGTAGAGGCTGGGCTTGGTCTCTTATTTACATTTTTATTTTTCACAAGGAGGTAAAAGCAGCCACTAGAACCAATGGATACTGATCATTGCCATGTGACAGGAGTGCAACGTTTTGGGAACCGGGTTTAAGAAATGAAGTTGAGATTCTTATAGGCCTCTCTGGGCCACCTTTGTTATGCTGCCTATCCCTAGAGCTGAATGGAATTCATGAAGTCTATAATAGCACCATCTAGTGACTCCCCAAAGTATTACAAATGTGACTCGAGTTTTAACATTTTTTAGTGCATCTCTTCCGTTCTGCTGAATGTGGGACCTTTGTAGGAGCCCTGCCCCATCAGGCAAACAGACTGGCTTCTGGGTAGGACGTTTCTCAGGTTGGGAGTGCTCAAGTCATAGGACGAGCTTATCCACCTCTGGCTATCTGGTACTCAAAGATTTCCTCTTGAACCAGGCCC